ATCTAAGTAGACCAGGGAAAATAACGGGCGAACAATAACGTATGATAGGAAAAATGCATTGATAAACAAAGGAACACACCGTTTCATGCCTGACGCGAAATTATCGCAGCTTGCGTATTTGAAAAGATAAGCGACACAGTCTACCAACAAAAGCAAGCACATGAGATCACCACCATAGATTGCTATCTATGGAAACTGCTAGGTGTTTGATGGTGTGTTCTGGTGATGGGTACGGAATTGATAACAGGGTTCCAAGGGATATTCTGATCGGGAAAGAATAAAAACCACATTCGAAGCATTTAGAAGCATTTCACGGGAGACCGGATTGTTTCGAGAATAATTGCACTTGTACCAAATTGTCCGAAAATGATTCCATGTCAGATTGATTTGAAATGGCTTGAAATGGCTATTTAAAGGTCTTGGCTGGTGGGTTTGAGGGTGTAACCGATGAAAGTAGAAACTAAGTAGGGGGAGCACAGCAAGCACCCTGAAGGACTCTAGAATTACTCTCTAACGGTTTCGAAATAGTGTTGTTTGCTTTCGTTCTGTGAATCCTTTCTGTGAAATAATCTTTCAACCATGACAATAAGTTGGTGGGGCAGCCTAATGACTGTAAATTTCGCAGAATATCAGATCGTGGAGCGGAATCGAAAGCGGAAGAATAATCAAGGAAAACGCGACTAACGAACTTTTGAGAATCATTTAAAGATTTGCAAATAAAGTGCATCACTGAAGAGACGGCATCCAAAGTTCATCTGTTAGGCTTGTACGCAAACTGGAGGGTTTCATTAGGAACGATAATACCAGACTGCAAGCGGGTGAGAATAGCCAGCTCTACTAGTTTAAGTCCAGAGGAGGTGATGGCGATAGGATGAGGGCGATTAGATAAAATGCTAGATGAAGAGGATTTAGGAATGGGAACAATGGTGAACGGTTTCCAGGAGCCCGCAATTGAACATGTGTAAATGGATTGGTTGATAAGGGAAACAAACATCTCTGTAACTGAAGCACTGCCATATTTGAGCATGGAGGAAGATAAATCATCGGCGCCAACTGCTTTCATGATTTTCTTAGTTTCCAAAAGATTATAGACCTCCACATGGGTGGCTGGGTCTATGGTAGATAGGTAATTTGTGGGCTACGGAGACGAGATCATTTGAAGGATAAATGGATATAACATTAAGGCTGTTCACGTTAATAATTTTGTTTCTTGTCCGTTTCTTCTGTCCGCAAAGCCATATGATCCCTTGCCATAACCGTCTTCCATCTCCAGCTCCCAGAACTTGCTTTGCAAATAAAGCATTCAGTCTTTTGATCTCTGTCCTGATCTGCAGCGTAAGTTGTTTGCCAGTGACTGTTTGGCGCATCTTAAACGCTATCTTTTTATCTTCTAAAGGCTTTTATCCGCGGATGGTATACTCTGCCAGTGTGAATAAAAACTGCTTCCATAGGACAGCATAAATTTAAAATCACATTAGCCGTTTCTGTAAAATGTGCAATAGAACAGGGAGATTGTTGAACGGAAAACCACGAACAGATTATAGCAAGAGATTTCCTTAGGAGAAGGAGTCTGTCGCTTGAAAGATTCCGAATTTTTGTTCATTTGTTTTGTTTGAATAAAAGCGGGGTATGCTAAGCGAAAGTAAACTTTTGGTCTAAGACATAAGAGACAGTGGTAACTAGACGAAATTGGCGCCTTCAGTTTGAGAGAGAAAATATTAGGATGATCAGTAATAACCTTGTCCAATAAAGCATCTCCTCTGGTGGGTGTTAAAGAAAGATCTGATAGGCCGAATGAAAGTAAAGGTTGGGTTGATCCATGATTAAAACCATCAACAGTTAAAATTAAATGATCATCAACTGAGGGACCAATGAAAGGAACAAATGCATCGTAGAAAGAACTAATTTCAGTTAGTGAGCAATAAAGGGCAATGTATAAATTGATAATAATTGTGCTCCGATAAGGGGAAAACCTAGATCGACATGAAACAGTTAGGCAGTCAATGCCATAAGATGAGTATGCAAACAACGTTTCGGACTTGCCGCACCAACTGGAGTTAATTTAAGTTGTTACCCTGCCTCCGGACTTTCTTTTGCTTCTTTCTCTGTCTTGTCGAAAAGTTGCAAAACCGAGTATGTTGACCAGCGAATCGTCTATGCGTTTGTTGAGCCACGACTCCTGTATGCATATCACACACATGTTTGTGTGTACGCGATAAGATAGTAGATCAGTGAGGTCAGCCGATTTGCTAACCAGTGAACGAATTTTGAAACTGATTGATGAGGGAACCGTCATCTTCACAGGTGGAATGTATGCAAGCACAGTCGGCCACCTGGCATGCTTGCGTTTCTTGTTCCGAACAGAAATTCCAGTTCGGGTAGAACCATGTAAGTTGTATGTTGCAAAAGAATAAAAGATATCCTTCGGGCCTAGTAATACTTCCCTGGGATACGAAGGTCGAGAGGACATGGCAGAATCCAAACAATGAATTCCAATGCGACAATGAACACAACCGTAGCACAGCCAATCGAAAGACACGCGTGATACTTTGTACTATTTGCACCCCAACAATAAGCAAAGTCAACCTAATCTACTGGTTTACATGATCGTTCGGTTTTAACGACGCATGAACTGCCCGCCTCGGTTTTCCTTTAATCACCATGTACCCTGGAAAACATCGCCTATCGAGGAGCAGCTTCTGTATGAAATTGTCCTCCAACGCAAAGTGGATAACAAGCATACCGTAATTGTAGTTGTGCTCTAAAGTCTACAAAATTTCTCATGCACCCGGTTTATTGAATTGAATAATGATAGAAGTTTCTGAGTTATATCTCCCATTCACAAAAATGTTCAGTGATTAGACAAAGATCAGATGTATTAAAAATCAAACATTTGGATAGCTGTCGGATAATGTAGATGAACATGGTTAGATGCATGCTGATAAAGCTCTGCTTTCCAAACATGCCATTCTTCAATCCTGTTGGTTCATTTGTCCTTCAGGATCACCCGTAATGATCTTGGCGTGTTGATTTCGGAGCTCCATTTTGATGTAACTTTTCGTAATGCTCCATATCATTTCAATCGGATTCAACGCTGGAGAATATGGAGAAAGTTTGAGAATACTCACTCTCCCTCCGGCAACGACGTTCTTCACTTTACAATGGCAGGGCGCGTTGTCACACAATCACATGTGATTTGTGCCCTTCTTTCAACGAGCATTTTCAACCACTGCGGACACAACACGGAGTTATAGGATCCCTTTTTTCAGAGTATGGTTCAACAACCCATCAGCATTCACAGTATCTATNNTCAAAATTTCTTGAGCAATACAGATTGAAGTTGGTTTTATCAATCTATATAATCTCATATCCAAGTGCCTCGTGGCATTTCAAGTGGTGAACATATCTAGGAAGAAATGACCCAAAGACAGGTCGGCATATTACCTTTTCCTCTTCTCTTTATTATTATTATTATTATTATTATGCTGGTATTTGATGAATCTTTTTCATTGTAATCAGTTTTCCACTTAAGTAGTTTCTGATGGTTGTGATGGAAACTTATTTATCGTATTCGGCCTTGAGTTTCATCCGTAGAAACGTCAGTGTTACAGTCGGATTCTCCTCAATCCATGAAGTGAGTTCTACACGGTGATTCGATAACTTGTTAAGCCGTCTTCCTCCGTGGGTTCCTTCTGACGGTCCTTCCTGGTGTCTTGTTATCCGTGTTATCGCTGCCCTTTTCTTCATTCTGAGTGATGCAGNCATCATTGTCACCATTGTCGTACACTCGTAGTATACTACTTTTACGGCCGGATACTACATCGCGGAAATTAGATGTAACTGTCAAACGGTAATTCATAGAGTATTCATATCAAGTAAGTAAACTAATCCACCAATGATCATCGAATTTTTGAACAAGAATCCGAACTTGTCAATGTTCCTCTTTGTTATGGAAACTACAACACAGTTGCCTAATAATAATAATAATCCAACAGACTATTTTCGCCAACACAAAAACCTTTAACTGTTTTGTTGTTTCCGATCCATTGTTTTCACACAGGTTCGGTGTTGCGTCATGCCAGCTGTTATTAACCATTTTACTCTACACCTCAATTAACCAGTTGTCTATCCCATAGTTGAAAAGTTGCTTACACATTTTCAAGATGATTAGTGAAACAGCTGTATGTATGGTGCATAAAGTATCTGCTTAACTTGATTTACGTGGAAAATAAATCTGAAAAATTGAAACACAACATTCTGGATCTGCTGATACTAATAAGTTACTGATATTACCACTGATGCATAAGAACAAAGTGGAAACGCGAAGAAGTTTCTTTTTGATAGATCGCTTCAGGCATTTAAAAATTTAGTTTCATTAGTCAACTAATTAATGAAGAGCTCAAGCTGGTAATGAATGTGTGTGCAAAATGTTCAGTTGACAACGAGCTATCGGATTACGATAAATAGATAGAGCAAAACAAGGTTAAATGTGTGAAGTGGACACGATATTTAAGGTGCTAGTCAAGAATGAATAAAACAGGTGTGATAATGTTAGTTAAAGACAGTAAATGAAGAAAGGGGAAATGTTACAGGTGTCGCATAGGAATCGAGGACAATCACTCTTAAAGCCATGGTAACAGCAGTTTCCACTTTGTTCCAACTGATATGACACAACACCTAACAATCTGTTCTTACTCTACCAAGTGATTCACCAAGCCGGAAACACATTGTTGAGAAAAAATTTCAACTGCGATTCACTTGCCCTTGTATTCGATTGAACTGTGTCAGATGGCGATGGGTGGTCACAACTCATGGCTCAATTCACACTCTCCTTGAATTGTCTGTGTATCCGGCGCAGAATGCCGACCGTTCTGCTTCAACCTTTCGTCGATCGTTAAGACCAACTCACAGTTGTCAGTTAGTGCTAGATGAACTTAACAGAAGATGACACAGATTTTGTTTGGCTGAATGCATCAAGCCGGAGTTTTGCGGTATCGTGCGAACAAATCAACCGTCTCAATCCTTTAAAATTAAAACAGGCAACTTTGTCAATAAAAATTATCTACGAAACGGACTGGTTAGCAGTGGAATAAATATAATCCGGAAGACGTCAGTGAATTTGTCAGTGGAGGCAAATGTTCCTCAGGCTGTAGAAAATCGCGGATCAACATTAGGGCAACTATGGGTAGAATACTTTATCCATCTCAAGTGAATACCCCATGGAGCACCGAGTACAGAGTTATTGTCGTTTGTGGGATCATGGATAACTGTAAATCATTCTTATCACCACCTTTCACATTCACTAAACTATCGGAATTGAACGGATGCAATCAGGATGTGAAAAGGTGCGACCGGTTAATCAATGATACGAACCTATGCGACAAAGCTGAGTAGCGAAGGGAAAAGCTGTAGGTGACAGATTGTTGCCATTGGTATTGTGGATCGAATGTAACAGTCAACCCGGGAATGACAGAGAAAAATGTGATTTTTATTAGCTAGTGAATAGGTTCGAATTTGATCTTACAATTCAGGTGAAATACTGAGAATTCTTTCACTAAATCATTGCGAAGTATCTTGTCAAGTGTTTCAATGTCAGAAATATGTAGGAAATCGTATTTAATTCAAAGAAATCGATGTTTGTTGAGGAAATCACTGCCCCAATAGAATGTACTCACTAGAATACTAAGGGCCTAGACTGAATCCACTCATGCGATGTTTCATCCCAATATTCACGTCCGGGCATGGTGACCGATTTATCGATCCATCTTGACGTGATTCACTTCGTTACCCGGTCGACGGAGGTCAATTACCGCCGGGTTTGTTCATTCGAGTCTACGACACACACGATCAACGAGAGAGAGGAGGAACAGCTCACCGTACGCCACGGGAACTTTCACCCTCGCTCGGTAACTCACTAAAAAAGTATTTTGCTTGTTTTCGAAGAAGTGAGTTCATTGGGACTAGACGAGGTTTAGACAGACCCGGTCCAGTCGGTGATGTTTGACGGTCGATAAACCAATCATCTTGCGGGATTCGATTGGTTCGATTCACTTGAAGTAACGGCTTATTCACTTGAAGTTATAACGGGTTCACTTGAAGTCAAAAAGATATAAAGAGCGTCTAGTACATGGTGCTGGTCTGTACAACCAATTTGCGATTCAGATCAAAATAAGACCTTCCATGACTACAGTTTACAATCTTTTCAGTTTATTAGGTGTAGAAAAATAATTGACATCTGCTCAATATTGTTAACAGGAGCGAACGAAATAAAATAGGAAATTATTCTTTCATGAAATGTTTGAAGTGGTTGAGGAACATGAAGGATATTTTTCGAAATAGCGAACGTGCCTACTCATTAGTATTAAAATGCGAAACATGAAAATAAAAACGTTTGTTTTTTGCCAGCGATTACCGCTTGCTCAAAAAGGCAAGATGCGAGAATTTTGGTGCCATCCAATACGAGTTCAACGAATAACCACAGTTCGAACAACGGTAAAGCTGTTTTAATCTCTACGGGGCCAATGTACCGAGGTGTAGAATAAACGTTCCCCCGGATTCTTGCTAACTAACAAATTTTTTGATTGCCGAGTCTATTGATTAACTAAAAGAATCTATGGAGTTCAACAGAGATGAAAGCAGTCCATACGTAAATTATTTAAGATAGTAGCTTTCCATAAAAACCCTGAACACGTAAATCAATCTTAGAATTTTGATATAGCATTCCTGATATGAGAGAGCTTCGGCTGTGGAGTTCAAACTGCGAAGATTCGTTTCTGGAGGATATCATATCCAAAAAACAAAGTAATCATTTTGAGTAATCCATCGATAATATCACATGAAAAATATATTGACAGCTTACCTGATCGAGTGAAAAGCCAATAGTAAACAACCCCAATGAATGCCATTAACGTGCGTCCGTGGTTTGACCTCATAAAGATGATCAAATCCCAAAGAAAATTTCATTTGGAAAGCTGACGAGCTCAAGGTAAGAAAACGGATGTTGTTGACGATGAAGATGATGATGATGATGATAATGATGATGATGACGACTATGATCACGATGATGACGACGACGATGATGAAGATGATGATGACGACGATGATGATGATGACGATGATGATGATGATGATGATGATGATGATGATGAAGATGATCATGATGACGATGATGATGATGATGATTATGATGACGAATAGGATGATGTTGACGATGATGAAGATGCTGATGTTGATGACGATGATGATGATGACGAT